TTACGCTTGCACCTGTACTACTAATGATTGTATAGTCCCCAATACCAGCGTCACTGCCAACAAACATTTGCCAAACTTATTCAAAATGATATCAGCAGAGTATCTCTGTAAATCAAAATGGTCTATCAAGACGAGTTATCACGCCCTTCAAGATAATCCAAAATGTCGTCTTCCACAAAGTCGGGTTCTGTCCCAGTTCTGGAGTAAAATCTCCCCCCAAAATACACGAAACGTCGTCGATCTGATTTAAAATATCCAGGAGCTCGTCTTGAAACATCAGTACACCATTTCTAGAAGTAGCACGCTAATCATAATAGGTTGGAGCCTTCTGGGTGTATATACGCATAACAGTACAGCACATTTGTTTAAGTACCAAACAGTAATTTATCTAATAGAATGTAAATACCACTTTCTTTCACCCACGTCCGTTTAATATATTTTTTCAGCTGTTTTCTAACCATAACTTTGTTACCGCCAGAGAGTCACCCTGCTTTTGCTAACTTATCTCCTGGTCTGTTATAATATACATAATCAGCCAACTTGTTCTGGAAGTTTAACTTCTGAATCCACGCCACGTGAGGCCTACGATATCAAATGAATGTAAATATGAAACAAAGTCACAGTCTTTTAATTTAGATTTCAATCCAGATATATTCCAATATAAGAGTTTTATAGTAGGAGAGTCATCACTTTTTAAATCCTCACTCTTGGTATGGGCCCCGGCCGCACCCCTAGGTAGTGCAGTCCTGCTGGCTGCCCCTAGAGCTGGTAGCCTGACTGCGAGTAGTGGGCCCCGGCCACACCCCTAGGTAGTGCAGTCCTGCTGGCTGCCCCTAGAGCTGGTAGCCTGACTGCGAGTAGTGGGCCCCGGCCGCACCCCTAGGTAGTGCAGTCCTGCTGGCTGCCCCTAGAGCTGGTAGCCTGACTGCGAGTAGTGGGCCCCGGCCACACCCCTAGGTAGTGCAGTCCTGCTGGCTGCCCCTAGAGCTGGTAGCCTGACTGCGAGTAGTGGGCCCCGGCCGCACCCCTAGGTAGTGCAGTCCTGCTGGCTGCCCCTAGAGCTGGTAGCCTGACTGCGAGTAGTGGGCCCCGGCCACACCCCTAGGTAGTGCAGTCCTGCTGGCTGTCCCTAGAGCTGGTAGCCTGACTGCGAGTAGTGGGGCGCGAACTCCCCTCGTTCCTGGGTGAATTGTTGATTCTGTCAGAGACCCAACCTCCCCTCACATCCGAGACATTGATTGAAGCATCCGTAACCTGTTTGGGTGCTGACACAATGTTACCACCTTTATAAAAATAATGTTTAGATTGGTCTTCATCTTTACATTTCTTTAATTTTGCCTCTGTTTTAAAGTTAAGTCGTTGGAAATGACATATCCTTTTGACCTAAGAGAATCTCTCAAACTTAGAGACTTCATCTTATCCTCCCTCTGGAATACCACACATAATGATATTATTTCTTTGATCCCTTCTCTCTAACTTCTTTGATTCTCCAGACTTGTATCAACATTGTCCAAGTCATAATAAACATCGTCAGGTTTTTGACAGAGCGCAACACATCAAGCCTAATAATATCTTGTTCTCACTTGTTCGTACTCACTTCATTTCGTAAATTTGTGACGTCACACCGTAATGTTTGTAATTCTTCTTTCACTGAACCAATTTCCTTCAATAGTTTGTCTTCGGGTGCCTTGATTTGTTGAATAATTGTAGATTTCATATCATCCAAATCCTTATTAAATGGGCCAGGGTTCGATTCAACATCACCTGACAGGTGTATTAGCAATGATACACAAAGACACAACAGGCGTACCCCACCTCGGTCCGGAATTCGATATGTAAACAAAGGTGATGTGAGATGAGGTGAGGTGAAATGGGGTTTAGCGCCGCGTCTAAGATTATTGCACTTATATAGCGACGTGCATGCACGTGTGTGTGTGTGTCCGGACTGATGCCGATTTATAGTGCTAGCTCACTGAGATACCATGCCGCGGTTTAACATGAATGCCCCACTCAGACACAGTATACTGACTCCGAGCTGACCTTGTTTTAGCCCCTAATACCGAGCACCAGACAGGGTAACAACAAGTACCATCTTTCAACGTCTTTTGGTATGACGCGGGCGGGGATCGAACCTCTATTATATGGTCTCTGGATTGAGTCAAACTACGTCTACTGATGACGGGGATTACCGCTTGAGGCGGGGCGGTTGGATTTCCCGAAGCAATACACGACAGGGTGTTCAGCTCAGTTATTTCTTTTGGTAAGTAAGGATAAGAATATATGGATGAACAACTTCTTTATTACTATTAAGAGCGACGTTTCGGTGTAGGTTGTTTTGGTAAGTCGAACATGCTCTGTTATAGCTTCGAATGGACGCTTCATTTCATATACTTGATCTGTCTGGCGTCAAAGCCTGCATCATTCATAGCCTGAATCGATGACGCTCTCAGTTTTCCCAAATGATTTTTAATGTTATTTTTAGACATTGAGAAATCCCCCTAAAGTAGTTCTGTATGTCTCCGCGCGATTGACAACGTAATCACGTAACATACTGACGTTCATCGGGAAATGAACGACAGTCAGCTTGGTGGTAATCACCTGGGCGAGGTCACCCGCTGCTGTCAATATTAGGATATCAACGAAGCGAAATGACGTATTAAATCATATTATAACTGTAACAAAGGAAAACATATTCAAATGAAACATTTCCGACTCCATACCAAATTTCCAACACATCAAACAAGAAATAACCGATTCATATATCATATTCACAATGTCAATACACACAGTTCATGAAATTTTGGTCACTCTGTCACCACCTATTCGTGTAAACCCACGAACTTGCACAATCCAACAAAGATGTCTTAGCATCCTGACACTGGAATAGTTTGTTACTATCCATAGATATACTTTGAAACTTGTATGTATTTAAGATTGCATATGAACTATATTCTGTAAATTTATTGTTTGTGTTCTCAAAAAAAGAAATAAAATCATTTTAAAAAAAGTGATCATATGCACCTATAGAAATATCGGAAAACTTCGTGGATACCTATGTTTCTAGTACTGCAAGTAAACTGGTTGCCTGTCTTGTAGTGTCAAGCGCCGATTATTGCAGTAACCATCTTGCAAACATTTTTCAGTATTGCGTTCGTCTTCTGCAAGCTCTCTAGAACATCGCGAGTATCATCACCAGAACACGAAAATTGAATCATATCACTCCGTTTCTTCCGGTTGGTTGGTTGGTTTGTTGTTTTACGCAGCACTCAGCAATATTCCAGCTATATGACGGTGGTGTGTAAATAATCGAGTCTGGACCAGACAATCCAGTGATTGATACCATGAGCATCGATCCACGCAGTTGGGATCGATGACATGCATTAACCAAGTCAGCGAGCCTGACCACCCGATACCGTTCGTCGCCTCTTAGTCGCTTTTGTTTGTTTCTTCCGGAGTTACACTGACTGCCAACATCTGGCAGAATCAAGTACAAGTTGTCATGGCCTACAAATGTCACAACAACCTTGCCCCGGCCGAAAGGCTTCTGAGTTGCTTCCCTTGTATCGAGCCACTCGCTCACCCAAGACACAAATCAGTTACTCCTAGATGTGCCAGGTGTGAAATCTTCGTTTGCTAAAATTATTATCATTACTATAAGCATCCCGAACTTCAGCCTAAATAGGATGATAGATAACAAGGAATTGTCGTCTGTGTAATAACGGAAGATCTGAATCTGGGCTTCTTACTATTGATTGATCTAGGAAATATATGTTTAGGGCATCGGCAATATGTTCGATATCATCATAGATTCAATCGAGGGGAAGATGGACTATCAATTTAACCTTTTCTGTTTTAAATTTTAAGGCGGTTCATCGTTGATTAAATACCGCTAAATGTAACATAATGTAATCACATTTATACTATCTTTATTTGCCAAAGAAAATTATTTTAAAATATCTCTAAAAAGTATGCTTGACGGACATACAGACTGTCTGTCTAAAGGTATTATTTGTGTATCATCTCTTTGATATTAACGCAGTTGGGGCAATAAACAGTACAAGTGGTATCGTGTACTCCCTACACTGTGACATTATATATATATACACATGAAACAAATGTTAGACAAAGTAACTTACAATCCATGCCCATTGCGCTTAGATGTTGCAACTTTTATCTTCCTATCGAAAAGGCACACTGTAATCGAATCTATTTATCTTTGTGAATTTCACCAGCCTTTCGTGTGTCCCGTATTTGATAAATGAGACACAAATATCTCTAACCCCACAATCACAAAAATTCAACTATATATATATCTCCATCTTGATAACGGTGTAAGAATCTACATCGAAACACCGCTATATGCAAACCAGAAGTTGTTATCCATAAAGTTGTACGCTTTTCTTACTTATTAGCCGACTTCTAGAATGCCAATCAGTTAACATCTGTCTGTGTGCGTGCGTGCGTGCGTGCGTGCGTGTGTGTGAATATGGTATACACACATCTATGCACAAATGAAAACTTAAACATTACATTAGACGGAACGAGTAAATCAATGATTACTCATCTGGAACTGGGTTAGTTAGTTATGTCTATACCTTCCTCGGTGTATCGGCAAAAGCATCTCGAACGGTAGGAGTAGAACTCTAACATACTCTCTTTACTAATTTGGAAACTCTTGATTACATAATTCGACTACCGAGTTGTTAAACCTCTCAGTTTGATGGTATTAGCTGTCTAATATCACACCGATTGCAGACAAAAGCTCCCGAAATTCCCATGTTAGCCGTTGAGTGTGGTCGGACAATTTGATAAGTCAGACAAGCTAATCATGCAAATACATACGGAAACCCAATACATTACACATATGCACAGGGATGTGATGCGGCCGTTGAACTGACCGTGCTTATATGGTGTTGTTAGTCGCTGTATATTAAAAAGACAAGAATCACGTTATTGTCAGTCTGGGCATCAAATTGCACAGGGCACTGGAATGATCTTACCTTGCCAGCGTCTTGTGTCACTGATCAATGCTGTGCCCAGTGTATCAGTGGGTCTAATGTGACAATAGCGTGACGTCACGTACAAGAGCCACAAAGATTATGACGTCACTACGGTCTGACACCTTTATGAAAATAGCAATCTCTTTGACGGAAATAGCCGAACATGAGATTGTGAAAATAGCACTTTCCTATCCAGAATTCCATGCGGCCAGCATAGTACCTTTGCCACAGGTCAGCGCCATGTGACGATTCGTCACATCTTACACTGTTTGATTGTTTGTTTGTTGTTTAACGCCGCACTGAGCAATATTCCAGCTATGTGACGGTGGTCTGTAAATAATCGAATCTGGACCAGACAATCCAGTGATTGACATCATTAACATCGATCCACGCAAAGACGTATATACATATAAAGTTGGTATGTACGTCCGTGATCCACGCAATTGGGATCGATGACATGTATCAACAAGTCAGCGAGCCTGACCACCCGATCCCGTTAGTCGCCTCTTATGACAAGCATCGTCGGCAAGCATTAGTTGCTGAAGGCCTATTCTACCCCGGATCTTCACGGGTGTCTTACACAGTCCATTCAAGCTATTACATAGCTTTTCATCGGTTTCAATTTTGACAAGTTTACACATCTAGATAAACATGTCATTGAATGAATTACTTTCATTGAGAAAATATCTTAAAACGTGAAAAACAATTTCCATTGGCGTAGTTGACATTGGCTGTGCGGCTTGACGTGCTGTCGTCGAAGAGTACCAGCTTAGGGAGAGCTAGCGATACGATCACTTTGATTTATAAATAGATATTGTCATGCACGTGCACCTCACTGTCACTGTTGAGGTAGCACATCTATATAATTATGCAAAACAAATATAAAGCGCCCCGAAAGTCTCGCAATAGACCAGTCTGTTCTCATTTCAGAATAAGCGTGTTTGTTTACAAAAGAGAGAGAAAAATCCGGTCACATGATATGCAAATTAGCCTGTGGTAGTGGTGTTATGCTAAATCACCACTGCGCCGGAGTGTGTGAAAATAGCTAAGATTGTTTGACGTTGTTTGTTTGTTTTTTAACGCCGCACTATATTCCAGCTATGTGAGGGCGGTCTGTAAATAATCGAGTCTGGACTAGACAATCCAGTGATTGACACCATGAGCATCGATCCACGCCATTGGGATACAATGACATGCATCAACCAAGTCAGCAAGCCGATCCCGTTAGTCGCCTCTTACGATAAGCATAGTCACCTTTTACGGCAAGCATGGGTTGGTGAAGACCTATTCTACCCCGGATCTTCATATTTTTTTGCTTGACGTACTCGACGGAGAATATCACATATACTGCATGCATTTAATGTTTGACACTACTCACACAGAGTCAACGTTACGTTGCCAACACGTAGTTAGTGATACAAAATACCATACCTACTGGATGTGCCAAATGATCACATTACATTGTTTGTTTGTTTGTTCGTTTGTTTGTTTCTGTGGCATTTTACTGGCTAACCAAAGATAAGGACACCTGAAGTTTGAGGATACGGTTATGTATAATACCTGTGCTGACAGGTGAAAGATTTTTTTGTCTAGAAGATAGAATGCGGAAGGTCGGTGGTTCGATTCCCTGGCGCTCATGACGCGTTAAAAGATGGTATTTGTTGTTACCCTGGCTGGCGCTCGGCATGAAGAAGATAAAACACTTGATTTATTAAATTAAAAGTAGTTTCTAATACCAAAAGTGTGTGTGTGTGTGTGTGTGTGTGTGTGTGTGTGTGTGTGTGCGTGCGTGCGCGCGCGTGTGTATGTGATGTGGGAGTGGGTGGTGGTTGATGATCAGTCGACCCTCCTGTACTTGTATAGATCACTTATCCGTTCTATACTCGACTATGGCTCCATCATGTATGACGGTCCTTGCAAAAGTATCCTTAAATTACTCGACCCAATACATCATCAAGGTCTAAGACTATGTAGCGGATCTTTCAGAGCATCTCCTGTCGACAGTTTGTATGTCGAGGCCGATGAACAGTCACTTAAGCAACGCCGCATCAAAGTCTCTGTATTGTACATCACAAGGTTACATTCAAATGAGACCTACCCTAACTGTATTCAACTGTGTGTTTAATCCGCTTTATGAGGACCATTACAATAAGGAGCCATGTCTCATTCCACCTCTTGGAATAAGAATTAAACCTTTTATTTCCGCTGCTAATATTAAACTTGATAATACATGTATATCTCCTTTCCGCCTGCTGTCTCCTTGGCAATTGGTAAAGGCATTGGCTGAGCTAAAGAAATCAGAAACAAATCAATAACAGTATCAACAGGACTATAACCAGTTTAGAAGTACATATATTACTTATAAATCAATATTTACTGATGGAACCAAGGACGGCGACGCTGTTGTCAGCGTCACTATCGTTGTGTCCAGGACTTTTATCTACTAGATTACAAGATAATTTTCCTATTTTTACAGCCCAATCAAAGGCCATTTTATTAGCTCTAGAGTACGTCAATAAACTGTCTAAACATAACCAATTTATCATTTTTTCAGACTCTCTTTCATGTTTTCGGGCTATTAAAATTATTCGTGGGAGCATCCAATTTTACCAGAAATCATTGTGCATAATAATCTTGCTACTGACCAATACGACGACATCGTTTTTCGTTGGTTACCCAGCCATGATGGAATCGTTGATGACATAATGGCTGATGCGGCTGCTAAAAAGCAGCACTCAACAAGTCTGTGTAAAACTACTTCTAATCCCATACAGTGATATGAGAACTGTGATTAGAATTTACATCAGAGATCTTTTGTAAATGAAATGGTAGGTATAAAGTAGGTACTAATATATTACATGCATTAACACCAACTAACGGCTACACCTACTTGAGTCACACCAGATTTGAAGAGATCATTTTACGACGGTGTCGTATTAGCCATAATAGAAATACACATAATTAGGTATTTAAGAGTGTTGAGTGTTTTCATCACAAGGGATAACTATTTCAAGGTTTCATCCATAAAGGATTTTAATACATATTAGTTCTCATTCATTCTCATTAAAATCAGATCTTAGTCCTCGTAGGCTGAACAAAGATCTGAAGACATCCATTAGGGGTCACGCCAGAACGACCTTTCATCCGACCAATCACAGCGTCGCTTACCAGATCATGAAAGTGACAGTCGGAATGTGATTTCTAATCATGCAGCCTCGAAAACGTTAAAACGGGGTATTCCGAAGGATAGTTACGGGCTTAACGACTGAATCTATACAATCTAGACCATATATCAGCCATTCTAGAACTTTCTTTTGTTCAGGTTTCAATTTTTTAAGCGAGAATTTGTCAAAATATGTTTCGAAGCGTAGTCGCCAATTTGAAATTAGTGCCGTAAAGCACGAGAAAGCTGCCTTCTGATTGGCTAATGTCGACTTCTTGTCAGTAATTCCATTGGTCGGTCAGAGTTTGCGAAAGGTCGGTCTGACGTGACCCGTAATGGGATGTCCTCAGATCTTTGTTTAGCGGCAGAGAGAACTAAGATCTGATTTTAATGGTTCTCATTTAATTATTGGTTTCTCAAAAGAAATAGAAATTATCAATAAATTTTGATGTACATAGGTAGTTGTTTTATAAATTGATAGTATGAATTTTGCAGAGATTGGTAGTTACTTTAAAACCTCTTTTTATATTGCATTGTTATGTAAAGTGACATATTCTTTTGGTTACATGCTGGTTTTTAAAATAAGGCTGTGATAGTCGAGTTGTTTTGCTGTCTTTTGTTGGCGGATGTTTTATATAGTCTCAATGTATAAATTTGAGTTTATTACTTTTCGTAGTCACGATATGACTAAATTACTGCCGGTGTGACTTTAAATTTGAACTCACTAAGAAGAGAGAACATGGACTGGTGGGTTCTGATTCAGTATGATGTGTCCGAGTGGGGTAGCTATATGTTTCAACTGCGGTGTGGTATCTCAGTGAACAATCACTATAGAACCGTCAGGTGTCCAGACTTGTATAGAATCACTACAAGCACGCACACACACATCATCTCCAAAGCGACCTCACCACCATAAACTAAAAATCGAGGCCATACATGGAATATATCCTTACATTTCATATTTATCTAAAAAAATGTATTAGGGCAGATTATAAATAACAGACGAGAGACCGTTTCCATACATATTTGTCAAAGTGGCAATCTAGTTTGAAACGAAAATGGAAACGAAATGACTGAAAAAATAATTATTAGTGGTAAGCCCATACAACATAGAGTGAGAGTAGCTTCCCTTTGACAACAGCTCATTGACGTCAGCGAATAATGTGCAGCTGAAGCCTGCACACGGAAGTAAGGAAAACCTTAGCATTGTACAGTTTCCCCCCATAATGACAGCTATCAGTTTATACATTTCTACATGTAGATATGTAATGCAGGCCAACGCGGCTGACCACGATTCGTGGACAGATTTGTATCGCTATCTACCATATCTTCGTCAAGCTCTTTCATGTTGTGTGTGCGGGAACATCATTTCGAAGCCTCGAGGACCAAGTCATAGCGAATGTTTACACAATGTATGTACTCACTGTGTTGGAGGTAAGATGAGGTTAAAACCTTCATGTAGTTGGTGTAAAGACTATGTCGACTTTCGAGACAATACCCATTTGAGGATATTAGTGCTTTGTTTTCAAAAGCTATGCGAATACATTTATGCCACACAGATTTGGACAGAGCTTACAGTGTCATCACCCAATGGGGAGACAAATCCACTAGTGTCTATCATCAAAGAAGCCATGGCTTTTGAAGATGACTATGTCTCAAACACTCACATTCCTAATCTACCTATGGCAATGCCAGTTTTGACACCTGCCACAATTAAACCGATAAGAAAGAGGAATGGTTCAAATAGAGAACAGCCTGCTGATGACATAAGTGAGGGGTCATCACAAGACCCCCCTACTCTCTCTCCAGAGTGTGACACCAATCCATTTGAAAAGGATGGCACAAAAAGTTGCTCAAGTAAAGAAGAAAAATATGCACATATTGGTTTAGGGTATGATTCTGTGTCAGCTCATATACATCCAGATATGAACCAGGTTAAATTGGGAGTTGATGCATACATTGGAAGGAGTCACCATGTTGGTTGCAAAAACAACAAGTCTGAGAAACAGCTTGAAGTACATGCTGAAGAAGTAGGTAGGAAGTCGTGGAAAAATCAGAGATCTAACAGTCAAGACAATATCTTTGAACCACCAAGTAAACGAACAAGAGCATCCTCTCTTCCAACTGGTTCAGAATTGTCCAGAAAAGTATGTAGATGTGCCCGAAATAATCCTCCAAATCGCTTGACATGTCTTGGTCAGAGGTGTCCATGTTACAGCTCTAGAGTGCCATGTATTGGTTGTATGTGCAGAGGATGTCGGAATCCCAGAAAATTAGACTTCAAAGTTCTCACTGACCCTGATGGTGGGCACTGTGACAGTGAGTGTGGAACTGGTTTAAATGTGTAAAATGAAAAGCACCTGTTGCACAATGTTATATTATTGTGACCAAAATGATTGTTATGTGATAATCAAATTAGATTTTGATTTTGCTGTTTCATGAACATGATGAATAAGTAGTTCTCAAACTATATAAATTACCATGATTACTGTTACAGAAAATTATGTTTGAGTGTTTCTTTTTGGTTAGAATATGATGTTGTATATTGAAATATTATGGTACAGAATACGTAAAATTAAGTCAATTTCAGATGAAAAAAGTGCTTATTTTGGAAAGTTGTTTTTGTTGATTTGTTTTTAATATAGAAGTATGAAATTTTGTTTATTTAAACCATATACAGTGACAAAGTCAATTTGAGACATTTACAAGGATCACTTATGGCTGAAAGTCAAGTGAACTTCCTTTGTGGCACATTGTCCGCTGCCCATCCATTTGTTTGTTGTTCCATCGCTAACTTTTGCATTTTAGATTTTAGATTTCTCACTTCTGAAACTACAAGGTCCATGGAGTTGATACTTTGAACAATTCCAGGTATAATGTCTGTCAGGAGGTGCTCATGACATTTCAATCTGATCTGGCCACGATTGAAAAGGTCTATTTTGGTCATAACTCAGACATTTCTGCATGTATCATTATGAAATTGCAGTATGCTCTCTGTGACTTTAGCCACTAGTCAACATGGCCAAAGCCTGGGTCCAGAAAAATTCTGTTTGGTCTAATATTAAAAGCTAATAAAAGTCCATTTGATAACTCTGAAATGTACCAAAAACGATGCCAAGTTGTAGCAAGTTTTTGGCGCAAACTGATCATGTGTTTTTTGGAATAACATAAAATGTTTTGGCATATTTCGATTTTCCATCTAGCTACAACCTTTTGACTTTCAAGTACTCTATTTTTTTTAGTGTTATTTCATTTTCGACATCTGCTCTTAAAGTTAAAATACAAATGCTTATGGAGCCGAAACTGTATGAATGATCTCAGCTATATAGTGAAGCTAAAATGTGCTATTTTAGAAACCCATTTGGGATGTTTTGAAATTTTGCATAGGTTTAGTTAGCAGTGGGGCCAAAGATGTTGGTTCCATTTTTGCAATGTTATGAATTTTGATCTTGATTCAACTTTTGCAGCATAAATGATGCTGTTGTCAAAGTGTAAATTCTTCACTCAAAGTGAAAATATGAAAACTATATGGTAAGAACCTACCATACACCATCATCTATATCTCCGGGGCTCACATTTCAGTAAACCTACACTAACCCCTGGACCAATCCTTTTGGTTCTCACAATCTTAAATTACCTGCCCTTGATTTTCATTAACATTTTACCGAGCAATTAAACTTAGTGATAAGGAAAAATAAAATGGTTAAGGGAGGTAACTTATAGTGCCTAGAAACCACAGCCACAGTCACTTTTGATGGAGTCTGTTTGTTGTGACAGACTGCTTCATAGGTACATGTCCATGTTACCCCAGTCTAACCCCGACACAGACCTTTGAAGTTGAAAAAACTTTACACTTTTACCAAAGTCTTCAACACCTTCTCCTCTGATACTGCTTGACTGATGAAACTGAAATTTGTCCTAGTCATCTGTCTGAAACAGCAAGACTGAGGAAGGAGAACTTTGGCATGTGTGTTTCACCTGATGATGACCTTCTGCAGAGAACCTTGTTCAGTGTGTGCCTTTGTTGGGGTTTAAATTGTGTACTTCATGTCCAGGTGAGCTACAGTGCTTCAGCTCGTTTCCATTGACAACAATAAGAAGAAACACTGTTAATATCGTACAAATATTTTGCTAAACGATTAGCTTGTGCAGGTTATAACATTGATTAGTGTCCTTTTAATATTTAAATTTCTTTTGTGGGCAGTGTTGGGGGAAGAGGCAAAAAAGTTTGGGTAATTGTGTATAACGTGCAACATGCTTACTGTTTATCCTGTTTATGCAGTTACATGAATGGATTTACTTCTGTCAGTGGCTGTTTGTCTGTTGTTATTTAAAAAAAAGATTGATGTTTATTGTCCTTTTTTTAATATTTTTTTCTATTACACCCAAGGTTTAATCTATTTCCAGAAAATGATGTTTCAATGTTTAGGAAGTGCGATTTTATCAGAAAGAAATAATAAATGTTGTCAACATACCATGTTCTGCCTCTTGCTAGGATAATGATAGTATCATGTTTATTAGTAGTGGGACGATACACTGATGCATCAATGGATCACGATATTTTACTTCTCGATACAAGTATCGGCCACAATTGCACACTAAGTAAAAAGTATTGATTCTAACCTCAACTGTAGAACTTTAATAAATGTTACTCCAAACATTAATTACAAGTGAAAATGAGTAGTGAAAAGGTACATATTTTCGCCATACCTGACACTGCCAAGTGTAATTTGTTAGTGTGCCAGGTAGTTTGCCATCATGTCTATACAAGAGATGGCTAACGCACCACTGATAAGAGCACATGCAAGTATCGTGATATGTATTGGATCACACAGTTGGTGTATCATCCCAGTCCTAATGTTTATCCTGTGATCCTATTTAGTTACATGCCATTTCGATGCCATTTGAGTTCTAGTTTTAGCATGGCCAGTTATTCTTCAGGACTCTCTCTGTCACAGAGTTTTGCCTACCAGAGTTTTAGTTTCGCCAGATTTGTTGATGTCATCATCTGTAAAAGTCTTCACCTCTGAAACCACTGGACTAATCATTTGGTAACTTAGCTAAAATCTTAAGACACCTGAAATTTTTCAAGAGCTTTACATGCCATTTTCAACATGGCCACCAAATCGACAACATGGATATATTTACTTCTGTGTATTATTCTGTCATCTCTTCTTTATACTTTTTTCAATTTTGTGTCAAGAGTTTTTTGTAGTCATGCTCAGCACATTGTCTCTTTTCTCTTGTTTTAAATATTGATCTTTGGCCAAAAATTCACCCAAAATGTATTCTTGGCTCTGTAAACAAATTGTAAACATCATTTCTGAAACTGCTAGACTGGAAAACTTTTAATTTTTTATTCATTTCTTTGTCAGTAATGGACAACATGGTTTGCTCAAATCATTGAGTGAGTGAGTTGGGTTTAACACTGCTTAGAACATTATTCCAGTTATATCACAGCATGTCAGCTTAATGTGGGAGGAAAGCCAAAGTGATGCAGGTCTCAGACACTTACCACAAACCCTGAAGCACAGGTATGTAGGCAAACTGGGACTCGTTCCCATGATTATAGGTTTCTGGCGTGCCCAAGGGACAGAACTCTACAGAAGAATGGGCCACCTACACCCCCCTCAAATCATTGTGATTTTATTGTTAGTTGTTGAACCGACTCAGATCAAAGGTCCTAGCGAGCTTAAGGCATTTAATTTCAATTTTTGAAAACTGCCTCTGTGGTCAAGTGGTAGAGCATTTGCACAGAGAGTGGAAGGTCAGGGGTTGGATCCCTGGTCGCGTCATACCTAAAGATGGTACAACATTGTACTTGTTATCGTGCCTGGTTATCTTCCTTGGGGTCTTACAAGCACTGGTTAGCTCGGAGTCCGTATACTGTCTGGGTGGGGTATTCATGTTAAAGTGTGGCATGGTATCTCTGTGGGCTAGCACAATAAAATCGGCATTAGTCCAGACTAGTAGAAGCAGCCACACACTCATGCATGCACATCGCTATATAAGTGCAATAATATTTAACGTGACGTTAAGCCCCATTTCACCTCACCTCAATTTCAAATGAAAAAGACAATAACTATAAAAACTCTTTTCACTAATCTTCTTCTAATGAAAGACAAGGTTGATGAATCTAAAACATTGATATAATGTGATTCAGGTTTGTTTATGTCATTAAAATAAAAGTAAGTTTTTGATAAGGGAAATTTGTAAAACTTTGTACATAGTTCATAATTCTTTCGTTGTTAAGAATATTCTACATATTTTAAGCACCATTTTGTTAGAAACTGAAAGTGTGAGAGAGCTTCATAGAACCTTCAGCTGACTAGATGAGCACAGTGCCTTGTTGCTGTTGTGAAAGTTGCATGTCATTGTGGACAAGGGTATGTGCAAGGAACTCTGGTTTCATACATGTATCTAAACCGTTTTTGCCAGGGCTACAGTTAAACTATTCCCAATTAGACATTGTGTTCCCAACTCTTTGAGACCTACAGCATGTATAGTGTGTCCCCGAGTATGGTCAGGTAATAGGGGGTTGGGTACCTTTGGGTAAATTTGGACTCATCCCAGCCCTAAAACATAGATTTTATTTGTGTAAATTTCTTTTATTTGCTAAATTTCCAGGTATCAGATCAGATACCACCATCATAGAGTGATAAGTTTCTACAGGCTCGACAGGAAGTCCAAGCATTGTGAAGTGAAAGACATGGCTTTGTTGTTCATCAGGTTTGCTGTCTCCATTGTATTGCCACATGAATGTGTAGGAATCCAGTCTGTTCTCCCAACAAAGAAACTAAGTACCTTGTGCTACACTCTACTACATTATTATCCCCCGCCCCAACAAAGTTGGCGGGGGATATAGAAATGGGTTCTGTCCGCCCGTCTGTGCATGTGTGTGTGCCTTCCGAAATCGTTTCTGGATCATAACTCAGAAACCGTTAAATATTTCTCTACGAAACTTTGCATGTCTATCAGACTCATGCTGAACTGGTGCCTTTTTATGTTCATTGTTGATGTTTCCATGGCAACAAGTTGGACTCAGGTTCTATAGGGTAGAGTTTGTTTCAGGAGCGTAACTCAAAATCCGTTAAATACTTTCTTACAAAACTTTGCATGTCTACCAGGCAGATAGTGAACTGGTACCTTTTGCTATTTAGGAATTTTAGAATTTTTTGGTTTTTATGTTTCCATGGCAACAAGTTGGACTTAGGTTCTATAGGGTAGAGTTCAACTCCGGAGCATAACTCAAAACCCATTCAATACTTTCTAACAAAACTTTGCATGTTACCAGACACATACTGAACTGATGCCTTTTGCTGTTTAGGAATTTTAGAAATTTTTATTTTTTACGTTTCCATGGCAACAAGTTGGACTTAGGTTCTATAAGGGTGGTGTTCGTTTCCGGAGCACAACTCAGAAAACGTTAAATACTTTCTTACAAAACTTTGCATGTGTACTAGGCACATACTGAACTGGTGCCTTTTGATAATTAGCACTTTTAGAAATTTTTATTTTTTACGTTTCCATGGCAACAAGTTGGACTTAGAAAACAATAAGAGTAGGGTTCAATTCCGGATGAAATTTTCCACATCTATCAGACACATGCTGAATTGTTGCCTTTTGCAATTTATGCATTTTAGAAATTTGTATTACTGGGCTTATTTCCAGAAATATTTCCTTGCCAAACATTGCATGTCTATATATAAAGCACATACTGAACAGAACTGGTGCCATTTGATATTCAGGAGTTTATTTTAGAATTTCCATTGCAGCTATTTTGACATGGGCTAAGAGAAATGTTGGTTCAGTTACCTGGTTTGGGACCATAACATGTTAAATTGGGCGGGGGATATAGATGACTTCGTCAACTATACGGTTGTTTGTCATATGGACGGGAGTTACAGCAGATACAGTGCTTTGTGGAATAAGCCGTGACCAATGGGTAGTGAGATGTCTCCTCATTGTTAGTCCATTGTGTTGTTGAACTACGTCAGACTTCACACTAGTATATTCTTTGTTACTGAACAAACTTATGTTTGTTTTTATGCTTAAAGTATCCAAATTACATGGATTACGAAAATGTGTAAGGCCACATGAGGTAAGCAAATTATTGTTTTGTTGGTATTCATTTAAATGATTATATTCTTTTTGTTGCAGCAACAAAAACTTAGGTTCCCTTTCTTTATTTGGAGTTGAAGTTTCCCTATTCCATTCATTAACAATTAGGAATGATTTGTGCTATAATTTGATCGATTCAACATGTATTATTTATTTAAATTTTAGACAAGAATTGTGATGAAGCAACAAACAGATGGTAACATGAGTGAAAAGAGTGCCACGACACTGTGGCTCACCTGGATATGAAGTCAGAAGTTTGAAATGTCAACAAAGAACATTCAAATATTTTCTGCATAAATACTGAGGACTAAGAACAAAAATCAAATGATTTGCTACTTAATATATTCAATATTGAAAATCAAATTCAAACCTCTTGAACAGGAACGACCAAGAAAAGTTTCAGTTTCTTTGGTTGAGTGATTTGGGGGAGATGATGCTTTCAATGCAGAGAAATGCATTTTGAGACCATTTATGAGCATGGTCCATGGTCAAAATGCAAAAATCAAGTCAAGGTAAAATTATTAAATATAAAAAACCCCCCGGAATATTAGTCATTTCTATTAAAAATGTAACAACATTAGGTTTACTGGTACATGTATGTGCAGTAAGCAGTTGGCTCAACAGGTGTGTTCCATTTGGGGTGATATTTAAAATTGTATCCTGAAAGCTGAAACATATTATGGCCATTTCATGTCAGAATGTCCTGAAATTTGATACTTCTGTTGTTAATAGTGGGGGGGCGGTCGGGTAGCCCAGTGGTTAAAGCGTTCGCTCGTCACGCCGAAGACCCGGGTTCGATTCCCGACATGGGTACAATGTGTGAAGCCCATTTCTGGTGTCCCCCGCCGTGATATTGCTGGAATATTGCTAAAAGCGGCGTAAAACCATACTCAGTCAGTCAGTCAGTTAATAGTGGAGCTCAACATGTATGTTCTATTTTTGGCAACATTGTGAATTTTGACCTTTATTTGGCCTTTGCAAATTAAGTATGCTCCTAAATTCTCTCAGAATGCCTTTTGCTCGCATGGTAAATTCCATCATCTCAGAAACCATTGAACCAATGATCTTGAAACTTCACATGCATGTCCATTCTACTGATGGCGTCGGAATCATTCAAGTGGTTTGCATCTGATTTTCAAAAACTGTTTATGGCTGCTATAAATGTACTGTACTGCTTTTGAATTATCTCAAAATGCATTTATCTTACTGTAAACATCTTCTCTGTAATTGCGTATACATGTAGTAAATTCCTTCTTGCAGATTACAATTTTTTTTTGATATTTGGATACTTGTTTTATATTTGTTAATACTTTGGTTGTCAGTATTTAAGCAGAAAAATATGTGAGTAGCAATGTTGGCAGCAACTCTTTATAAGTGGCTGTCTCTGTTGACATTTTATATGGTTGACTACATATCTAGGTGACCTAAACTGCTGTGGCATTTTTTATTTTATTTTCATCTCTCTTCATTCCGGAGATATAGGGATGTGCGGTCATGTCCATGTCCTCCGTGCTTTTTCTGTTTCAACGGCAATTTGGACGTTACTGAAAATGAAGGCAGTGCTCGTTTTCAGAGCAGAACTCTGAAACCATTGAATATTTCATGGTGAAACTTGCCATAAAAATCAGTCTAGTGGTGAACTGGTGCCTTTGATTTGATTGTTGATTTTGGATGTTGAAAAATTCTGAACAGCATTATTATTTTCAAAATGAAGCAAAAAGGGGTGAAAGTAGGCAAACCCCATTTCAGAATTGCACCTGATTGTGGGGGTATGTCATATCCTGATGCCTCTTGTTCAAAATGGTTGCTACACTAAATTTCAGCTGAGCACATATTGCAGATTTGGACCCTCTACCCAATGTTATTATGCCTCAAAGGGTGAATGACCAATCAGAGAGCAGAACTACTAACCCCACATGAGCCCATATACTGTCAGTATAAATCCAAGTAGTTGTTACTGACCTATACCCCTGTAACAGCCATTTTACATTTTGCAACACCTACCTCACATATTTCTGGCACAGAAAGTTGTTATTCGACACTGTTTTGTGTTTTAATTTCAATAATTGTGTTTTTTGGTCATGACATTTGCAATAAAGATTCCAGATAGTGTAAACTTTTCCCCATAATAAATTTGTTGTGTTTCTATAGTTCGAAACAACTTAATCTAAAGTAACTAATCTCTGAAACAACTTAATCTTAAGTAACTAATCTCTGAAACAACTTAATCTAAAGTAACTAATCTCTGAAACAACTTAATCTAAAGTAACTAATCTCTGAAACAACTTCATCTAAAGTAACTAATCTCTGAAACAACTTCATCTAAAGTAACTAATCTCTGAAACAACTTCATCTAAAGTAACTAATCTCTGAAACAACTTCATCTAAAGTAACTAATCTCTGAAACAACTTCATCTAAAGTAACTAATCTCTGAAACAACTTAATCTAAAGTAACTAATCTCTGAAACAACTTAATCTATAGTAACTAATCTCTGAAACAACTTAATTGTTGAATGAATGGCAGCATGCCAAGCATGAACTGTGATAAAATATAATACTTTTCAATTCAAGGAGGGAAAATATGTTAACTGTCTATTATTATTAATTCTGTGGAATGTTTTCTATACCACTTAATCATGTTAATGTTTCTGATTGTCTGTATACGTTTATTTGATCAGGGGCCAGATAATTTTTGTATTCCGTGGGTGCTACAAAAAAATGTTGAGAGCTATATCAATAGTCAAATAATTTTATATATCTGAGAATATCTGCATGTGGAATATGCCTTGAAAATCAGTCATTTTTTCTATCGGTATAGACAATATCATATGAGGTCAATCAAAATAAGTGTTTGCAAAATTTTCAGAGAGCTAGAAAAACTAAGGAGACAGTCATCGATACCCCCACTCTTTTAGATATGTTATTAAAGCACAAAATTAAGTATATATGTAATTTGTCTGATTGTACCAATCAAAACCATGGTTAGTCCTGAAGCATTAAGTTCAAGAGACATCATCCTGGCAGAGTCAAGCGTTCATGATAAGACTACACCAGATGATTCCTCCTTTAAATGCTTTCTATACCTTCCAGTCAAGGGCATTACTCATGGTACTTTGCAATGGACACAATTTTTAAATGATAAATTTAAATTATGATATTACAATAACAACATACTAAAAACCTAAAACACAATTCCGGAATTGTTGTATTGGAAATTTTTGTTAATTAACATGGCACTTAGCATCTTCCCGAGGCAAGAGAGTTAACTGACTTTAAATGTCCAGTTTCCACCCTTGCCGAGTTAGGCTGGAATTAGTGGGCTCGATCGTAGCGCCACCAGTGGCTATTACCAGTTATGTCCCTTCTAAGCCTCTCCTATGGACCAATCAGATTCCTCTTCTCATATCACTTGTGTTTGCTTCACACAAAATGGTGGTGCCCAGTCAGGATGATCTGATCGATAATGAAGATCTATATTGTGATAAAACAGGTCTTACATCGCGAAATGCATCAAATCATGTGAGCACCTTGATTAAAAACATGAAAAGATTTGGAAAATATCTGCTGACAACGAGTTGGCGGTGCACATGCTTTGCAAATCCTGCAATCGACCGAAATCTGCACGACAGTATACAAACCGGATTTCGATTTCGGTGTGCGATTTTGATTGGACTATGCATAGACTCATTAGCCCAGCCAAAATGTAACTCCATAATACCAGCCTAGTTCAGCAAGGTTGGAAACTGGATTTTTAAAGTCAGTTAACTCTCTAGCCTCGGGAAGATGGGCACTTAGCAATATTCCAGCTGTATGGTGGCATCTTGTTATAATGAATATGTAGGTCTGGATCATACAAATGAGTGATTCATATCATGAGCACTGTCCCATTCTGTTTGGGTACGATGCCACAAAATGAACAGAATCACCTCACCAGACCACCTGATCCATTTCGTTGCCTCTTACATCTAGCATAGGTTGCTGGGGACCTATTCTTACTTGTAATCCCCAAAAGGTTTTGTAATGTATGATAGCTGATGTGCATTCAATGTTTCTTCAACCTCCTTTGAACTCAAGTTGTGGGAACACAAAATATAAAAATAGAAAATTTCCTAAATACCTGTAGTAAAGGCACCAGGGCTGGGTATGCCAGATGTGTATACAAAGTGACATTGAACAGTTTTTGAGTCATGCTCCATAGATAAACATGACAGACTGAAGGAGCCATTTCTATATACCCTCTAAACTTTTATTGAGCAGGGATTTATGTCAACGGAACATTATTGTATCTAGTCATAGGTAGTATGGTTGTGAGGCAAAATAGCTAGTTGAGCACATGTTCACCACTGAAGTTGTACATTACTTAGTAAATGTGAGCTCCTGTACCTCTGGTAATCTGGCTTTGTTTTGGTGGCGGTGAATAGTTTCTTGGATGTCAAATGTATTAGTTGCAAGCATTGTGTTGTTAGTTGTTGAAATGTTCCTTCTAACAGTGCTGTGATGAAGATCTTATATATGTTACTATGGCAACATAACTTTGTTATTCATAACTTGTGCAATGCAGGGATCAGTATTGAAATCATGTCATTACATAACATGTCAATGATAATTGTTTTATTCATTTTAATAAAGTGATAGATGAAAGCTGTTATTCATCATGCATGAAAAGAGAAAACATTTGAAGTGAATTGGTATATATTTTGTAGCACAATAGTCCAATGCTATATGACAAGTGTTGCAGATAGTGAGGGAGGAAATCCACTACTGGTAATGTCAATGTGATAAAGCGTTGAATGTGCAATACTATTGTTTATGGCTGTCTCGTAGTCATCATCTGGTCACTCTATTAAACTGTTTCTGCAAGTTATACTGGCTTTGTTATTTAATGTCACATCCTAAACTACTCATGGATACATCAATACCTGTCTGTGCAGTGGGACAAAACTACCAGAAGTATGTTGTCAATGTGGTCACATCCCAACTTGCCCGGCAGATAATCAGAAGTATATTGTCAATGTGGTCACATCCCAACTTGCCCGGCAGATAACCAGAAGTATATTGTCAATGTGGTCACATCCCAACTTGCCCGGCAGATAACCAGAAGTATATTGTCAATGTGGTCACATCCCAACTTGCCCGGCAGATAACCAGAAGTATATTGTCAATGTGGTCACATCCCAACTTGCCCGGCAGATAACCAGAAGTATATTGTCAATGTGGTCACATCCCAACTTGCCAGGCAGATAACCAGAAGTATATTGTCAATGTGGTCACATCCCAACTTGCCCAGCAGATAACCAGAAATATATTGTCAATGTGGTCACATCCCAACTTGCCCGGCCGATAACCAGAAGTATATTGTCAATGTGGTCACATCCTAACTTGCCCAGCAGATAACCAGAAATATATTGTCAATGTGGTCGCATCCCAACTTGCCCGGCAGATAACCAGAAGTATATTGTCAATGTGGTCCCATCCCAACTTGCCCGGCCGATAACCAGAAGTATATTGTCAATGTGGTCACATCCCAGCTTATCCAGCAGATAACCAGAAGTATATTGTCAATGTGGTCAGATCCCAACTTGCCCGGCAGATAACCAGAAGTATATTGTCAATGTGGTCACATCCCAACTTGCCCGGCAGATAACCAGAAGTATATTGTCAATGTGGTCACATCCCAACTTGCCTGGCAGATAATCAGAAGTATATTGTCAATGTGGTCACATCCCAACTTGCCCAGCAGATAACTAGAATTATATTGTCAATGTGGTCACATCCCAACTTGCCCGGCAGATAACCAGAAGTATATTGTCAATGTGGTCACATCCCAACTTGCCCGGCAGATAACCAGAAGTATATTGTCAATGTGGTCACATCCCAACTTGCCCGGCAGATAAACAGAAGTATATTGTCAATGTGGTCACATCCCAACTTGCCCGGCAGATAACCAGAAGTATATTGTCAATGTGGTCACATCCCAGCTTGTCCGGCAGATAACCAGAAGTATGTTGTCAATGTGGTCACATCCCAACTTGCCCGGCAGATAACCAGAAGTATATTGTCAATGTGGTCACATCCCAACTTGCCCGGCAGATAACCAGAAGTATATTGTCAATGTGGTCACATCCCAACTTGCCCGGCAGATAACCAGAAGTATATTGTCAATGTGGTCACATCCCAACTTGCCCGGCAGATAACCAGAAGTATATTGTCAATGTGGTCACATCCCAACTTGCCCGGCAGATAACCAGAAGTATATTGTCAATGTGGTCACATCCCAACTTGCCCGGCAGATAACCAGAAGTATATTGTCAATGTGGTCACATCCCACCCTGCCCGGCAGATAACCAGAAGTATATTGTCAATGTGGTCACATCCCAACTTGCCCGGCAGATAACCAGAAGTATATTGTCAATGTGGTCACATCCCAACTTGCCCAGCAGATAACCAGAAATATATTGTCAATGTGGTCGCATCCCAACTTGCCCGGCAGATAACCAGAAGTATATTGTCAATGTTGTCACATCCCAACTTGCCCGGCAGATAACCAGAAGTATATTGTCAATGTGGTCCCATCCCAACTTGCCCGGCAGAAAACCAGAAGTATATTGTCAATGTGGTCCAATCCCAACTTGCCCGGCAGATAATCAGAAGTATATTGTCAATGTGGTCCCATCCCAACTTGCCCGGCAGATAACCAGAAATATATTGTCAATGTGGTCGCATCCCAACTTGCCCGGCAGATAACCAGAAGTAAATTGTCATATGGTCACATCCCAACTTGCCCGGCAGATAACCAGAAGTATATTGTCAATGTGGTCACATCCGAACTTGCCCGGCAGATAACCAGAAGTATATTGTCAATGTGGTCACATCCCAACTTGCCTGGCAGATAACCAGAAGTATATTGTCAATGTGGTCACATCCCAACTTGCCCGGCAGATAACCAGAAATATATTGTCAATGTGGTCACATCCCAACTTGCCCGGCAGATAACCAGAAGTATATTGTCAATGTGGTCACATCCCAACTTGCCCAGCAGATAACCAGAAATATATTGTCAATGTGGTCACATCCAAACTTGCCCGGCAGATTACCAGAAGTATATTGTCAATGTGGTCCCATCCCAACTTGCCCGGCCGATAACCAGAAGTATATTGTCAATGTGGTCACATCCCAGCTTATCCAGCAGATAACCAGAAGTATATTGTCAATGTGGTCAGATCCCAACTTGCCCGGCAGATAACCAGAAGTATATTGTCAATGTGGTCACATCCCAACTTGCCCGGCAGATAACCAGAAGTATATTGTCAATGTGGTCACATCCTAACTTGCCCGGCAGATAACCAGAAGTATATTGTCAACGTGGCAAGGTATGAAACCTCCAAAAATATCAGCCAGACCACAGGACTGGCTAGCTCAAATACTTGCCCACCTACCTACCTGCCCACTATAATCATATGTTTCTCAGGATAATTTAATCAAAACTTTAAATCGAATTCATTGAACATGAAGTAATGCAAGAAAAGAAATAGCAAACACTTTTTAGGTCAGATTTGTATTTAATATCCTAGAATACATCATGTAAATATCCTTATTCCTAAATAGGGCCTCATGACTTTCAATCAATGTCCATATCACTGTCAGTGTCATTGTGATTGTCACTTCCTTCAACGAGGTCACTGAAGTCTGACTCATATTCAGTTTTCCAAGAAGGAACGATCGTTCTTTTTCGCTTCGTGCTGTCATAGATCTTGTCTCTTTCAGCCTGTGTCTTTTTTCTTGTCATCACTGACTTCAGGTAAACCAAGAAACTTTAAAAGACTCATGCTGTCGAGCAACGTGGGTAATGGGCGTCGCCATTTGCAATATCACTAGCAATAGAAACAGGGTCACTGATTGGTCGTCGTGTCGGGGATAATACAATCAAATAGCTTGTCTCAAAATATGAAAACTGATTGCTTGTAGCATAAGCGCATCGTTAAACTTTAGGTTGTCTAAAAGCTAATGGGGTTTCTTTTTGGTTACATTTTATCATTCATCTTTACATGTGAATTAATGCTTATCATCAGGAAATATTTAGATTATTTTCACATATGAAATATAACCCGACCGTTGGGCAGGGGGATTTGAAAATCTGGCAGCCCGAGTTGAAATCAACCCGTCTCGGACGGTCGGGCAGGCAGGTATTTCGAACACTGAATGTGGCCAAATTGTTAAAAAATATATGAATGAATCACTGAAAATCATTGATGACACCACATGTTCTAGGGTAAGCATGTCCTGCACTACCAGGCAGCATGCACTATTCACACAAATTGCAGAAAAAGTAGGTGTTTGTTGCCTGACAATGTGGCACCAAATTTACACTGATCAGAACAAATATTCAAGGGTTAAAACATGAAGAAAGGAAACAAAAAACAAATGAATTCATGTTGACCAATGGAATACATGCACATCATTTCACACCTCAGACAATTAAGTTTAACTAAGTTGATGGAGAAACAAAACCAGTGTTGACATTGAGGGGGATCCTTGGGGCTTACTTCTAAGTATTGGAATGTTGGGATCCCCTAAACCCTTTTATTAACAACTTTAATGGCAAAGACCCCCTTTTTATGCTTTATTTTGACACTTGAATGCTGATATAAGTATTGTTATTTGTAGTTTAAACCCATACACACAAAAACACCATGTTGCAGATACTGATGGTGAAGCTATGATGTAAGTAACAATCTTGGAGTTGCCATTGCCTCATCATTGAATGAAAGTTCTTGGGTCCACTCATACAGCTTGCTTGCCTCATGTTCCCAGTCTTCCTGGGGCTGTGTGGGCAGCTCACCATCTGGGTTGTAGCAGTCCACGTAGTGGGCAGCAGCCCTCTCTCCACAAACCCCCTCCTGCAGGTACACAATGTAAGAACATACACACATGACATGCACAACTGAAGCCCATTAAGTGCACACCATTCACATAGTTAAGGTTACTTGAGGTCAAGTGGTGTCACATTCTTACTTAAAGACAAATATATGGATGCAAGGAGCTGTTGTTCACCAGGAACATTCACATCAACAGTGATAGAATTCCTACCATAAAAAGATATGCCATAAGGTTACGTAGCTCACCTATATTTATTTTGAATATGATATTAGATCAGAACAGAGCAACAGACATAACAGAAGTTTCAACTCAAAAGATATCCTCACTGTATGTCCATTAACTGGCTGGGCAGAGGACCAAACTTACATGTTCAACTTGACTACCATGAGCAGCCACAGTGTTTAAACATTGTTGCAAATATCACACTACACTACAAATTAATTATTTTTAGTAATACCACATAGTTACTTGACAACTGTAATATCTTGGTCAAAGGAAGTAGCTGTGAAAAAATGAACATTTACATGATCTGTCATTGAACTAAAGCAGTAGTATAGGTAAGGGGGGATATAGCCTGTAACTGGTACACCCACGATGGGGCCAGATTTATACCCCAATACTACTACTACAGGAGGGGAATTTTTTCTCTCTTCCATTAAAATGATTATGCTATTCTACGCCTATTTGGGGGCATTCATCAGTTTAATGTCATGTCCATCGTAGAATAGCATAATCATTTTAATGGAAGAGAGAAAAAAATCCCCTCCTGTAGTAGTAGTATTGGGGTATAAATCTGGCCCCATCATGGGTGTACCGGTCTCAGGCTATATCCCCCTTACCTATTCTACTAAAGCTTTATATCATTGATATAAGCTTTCCCTTGTATAATATAAAAACATACATGTCATACCCCAGTCACATAAGTATGCAAGCTACACAGCCAAAAAAACCCTAATGTTTTCCCCTTTTTTTTTGCATGTGATGTTTACAAACAACTGTCCTTTGATGTTGGAAATATAGTTTTAATACAGTGGTACATCAAAATAAGACTGCTACAGTGTAAACTAATATTAGTGTTGTCTAATGGCTGGTAAAGGTTAGAGATGGATGGTATCGAAGTAGTTGTCTCCAAGATTGTTGCAACTGGATAATTTAAACTTAACATGACAGTCTCTACTGGTCATCTTAATCCTAATTTCATAGGCACACACTTTCAGCATGCCTAAATTTTAAGACAATATATTATCAGAAATTGTGACTGGAAAAACAAACATTCCATTCTCATGAAAAGCAGGTGTGAAACCACTCGTCTTCAAACATCAATACTTCAATTCACATGGTCCAAAAACGCTCCATCTATGTTGCCCAACATACTCATCATCTCCGTCCCAAGGATGTTCCCTCAATGTTATCCCTGCCCTATAAAGTCATCATCTCCGTCCCAGTGATGATCCATCTATGTTATTCCTGCCCTATATAGTCATCATCTCCGTCCCAGTGATGATCCATCTATGTTATCCCTGCCCTATATAGTCATCATCTCCATCCCAGTGATGCTCCATCTATGTTATCCCTGACCTATATAGTCATCATCTCTGTCCCAGTGATGCTCCATCTATGTTATCCCTGCCAAATATAGTCATCATCTCCGTCCCAGTGATTCTCCATCTATGTTATCCCTGCCCCATATAGTCATCATCTCCGTCCCATTGATGCTCCATGTATGTTATCCCAGCCTCATATAGAACTAATCATCTCTGTCCCAGTGATGCTCCATCTATGTTATTCCTGCCCTGTATAGTCATCATCTCCGTCCCAGTGATGCTACATGTATGTTATCCCTGCCCTATGTAGTCATCATCTCCTTCCCAGTGATCCCCCATCTATGTTATCCCTGCCCTATATAGAAGTCATCATCTCCGTCCCATTGATGCTCCATCTATGTCATCCCTGCCTTATATAGTCATCATCTCCTTCCCATTGATGCTCCATCTATGTTATCCCTTCCTTATATAGTCATCATATCCATCCTAGTGATGCTCCATCTATGTTATCCCTGCCTTATATAGTCATCATCTCCGTCCCATTGATGCTCAATCTATGTTATCCCTGCCCTATATAGTCATCATCTCCTTCCCATTGATGCTCCATCTATGTTATCCCTTCCTTATATAGTCATCATCTCCGTCCTAGTGATGCTCCATCTATGTTATCCCTGCCTTATATAGTCATCATCTCCGTCCCATTGATGCTCCATGTATGTTATCCCAGCCCCATATAGAACTGATCATCTCCGTCCCAGTGATGCTCCATCTATGTTATCCCTGCCCTGTATAGTCATCATCTCCGTCCCAATGATGCTCCATCTATGTTATCCCTACCCTATATAGCCATCATCTCCGTCCCAGTGATGCCCCATCTATGTTATCCCTGCCATATATAAAGGTCATCATCTCCTTCCCAGTGATGCTCCATCTATGTTATCCCTGCCCTATATAGTCATCATCTCCGTCCCAGTGATGCTCCATCTATGTTATCCCTACCCTATATAGCCATCATCTCCGTCCCAGTGATGCTCCATCTATGTTATCCCTACCCTATATAGCCATCATCTCCGTCCCAGTGATGCTCCATCTATGTTATCTGTGCCCTATATAGAAGTCATCATCTCCATCACAGTGACACTCCCTCTATGTCATCTCTCTCCTATATAGAACTAATCATCTCCGTCCTAGTGATGCTCTCTATGCTATCCGTGCCCTATATAGAAGTCATCATCTCGGTCCCAGTGATGCTCCCTCTATGTTATCTGTGCCCTATATAGAAGTCATCATCTCCGTCACAGTGGCGCTCCCTCTATGTCATCCCTGTCATATATAGAACTAATCATCTCCGTCCTAGTGATGCTCTCTCTATGCTATCCGTGCCCTATATAGTAGTCATCATCTCCTTCCCAGTGATGCTCCATCTATGTTATCCCTGCCCTATATAGTCATCATCTCCGTCCCAGTGATGCTCCATCTATGTTATCCCTACCCTATATAGCCATCATCTCCGTCCCAGTGATGCTCCATCTATGTTATCCCTACCCTATATAGCCATCATCTCCGTCCCAGTGATGCTCCATCTATGTTATCACTGCCCCATATAGAAGACATCATCTCCGTCCCAGTGACGCTCCATCTATGTTATCCCTGCCCTATATAGTCATCATCTCCATCCGAGTGATGCTCCATCTGTGTTATCCCTGCCCCATATAGAAGACATCATCTGCGTCCCAGTGACACTCCATGTATGTTATCCCTGCCCCATATAGAAGTCATCATCTCTGTCACAGTGATGCTCCCTCTATGTTATCCCTGCCACATATAGAAGTCATCATCTCCTTCACAGTGACGCTCCCTGTATGTTATCCCTGCCCCATATAGAAGTTATCATTTCCATCACAGTGACGCTCCCTCTATGTCATCCCTGTCCTATATAGAACTAATAATCTCCGTCCTAGTGATGCTCTCTCTATGCTATCCGTGCCCTATATAGTCATCATCTCCGTCCCAGTGATGCTCCATCTATGTTATCCCTGCCCTATATAGTCATCATCTCCGTCCCAGTGATGCTCCATCTATGTTATCCCTACCCTATATAGCCATCATCTCCGTCCCAGTGATGCTCCATCTATGTTATCCCTACCCTATATAGCCATCATCTCCGTCCCAGTGATGCTCCATCTATGTTATCCCAGCCCCATATAGAAGACATCATCTCCGTCCCAGTGACGCTCCATTTATGTTATCCCTGCCCTATATAGTCATCATCTCCATCCGAGTGATGCTCCATCTATGTTATCCCTGCCCCATATAGAAGACATCATCTGCGTCACAGTGACACTCCATGTATGTTATCCCTGCCCCATATAAAAGTCATCATCTCTGTCACAGTGATGCTCCCTCTATGTTATCCCTGCCACATATAGAAGTCATCATCTCCTTCACAGTGACGCTCCCTGTATGTTATCCCTGCCCCATATAGAAGTCATCATTTCCATCCCAGTGATGCCCCCTCTATGTTCTCCTTGCCCCATATAGAAGTTATCATTTCCATCACAGTGACGCTCCCTCTATGTCATCCCTGTCCTATATAGAACTAATAATCTCCGTCCCAGTGATGCGCCTTCTTAGTTATCCCTGCCCAATATAGAAGTCATCATCTCCGTCCCAGTGATGCTCCCCCTATGTTATCCGTGCCCTATATAGTAGTCATTATCTCCATCCTAGTGATGCTCCCTCTATGTTATCTGTGCCCTATATAGAAGTCATCATCTCCATCACAGTGACACTCCCTCTATGTCATCCCTCTCCTATATAGAACTAATCATCTCCGTCCTAGTGATGCTCTCTCTATGCTATCCGTGCCCTATATAGTCATCATCTCTGTCCCAGTGATGCTCCATCTATGTTATCCCTACCCTATATAGCCATCACCTCCGTCCCAGTGATGCTCCATCTATGTTATCCCTACCCTATATAGCCATCATCTCCATAGGAGTGATGCTCCATCTATGTTATCCCTGCCCCAGATAGAAGACATCATCTGCGTCCCAGTGACACTCCCTCTATGTTATCCCTGCCCCATATAGAAGTCATCATCTCCATCCCAGTGATGCCCCCTCTATGTTCTCCTTGCCCCATATAGAAGTTATCATTTCCATCACAGTGACGCTCCCTCTATGTCATCCCTGTCCTATATAGAACTAATAATCTCCGTCCCAGTGATGCGCCCTCTTAGTTATCCCTGCCCAATATAGAAGTCATCATCTCCGTCCCAGTGATGCTCCCCTATGTTATCCGTGCCCTATATAGTAGTCATCATCTCCGTCCTAGTGATGCTCCCTCTATGTTATCTGTGCCCTATATAGAAGTCATCATCTCCATCACAGTGAGACTCCCTCTATGTCATCTCTCTCCTATATAGAACTAATCATCTCTGTCCTAGTGATGCTCTCTCTATGCTATCTGTGCCC